CCAGCATCAGAGCGCACGCACTTAACCGCTAAGCCACGGAGCCGGCCCTCTCCCACACTTTTGAAGGACAGTTTTGCCAGATCTAGGATTCTTGGTTGACGGTTTTTGTCTTTTAACACTTTGAATGTATCAGCCTGCTGTCTCCTGGTCTCTAAAGTTTCTGATGAGAACTGCTGATCGCCTTATTGAGGATTCTGGGGTGCATTCTTATGAGCTATCTTTCTTTAATTTTCCACTACTCTCTAAGAACATTTTCTAAGTCACCTACTGTAATTAATTAATGAAAAGTATCTGTGCTGTCTGAATGCTTGCTCTATATGAGTGGACGATTTATGATTATTGTCTTTTTAATTCTTGCACATCCGTACGAGGGACACGAGTTGTGTTTCCATTTTACAGATGAGAAAATGGAGGCTTGGACAGGGTTAAGTCGTTGGCCCGGGATGAAATGTCCAGTGAGTGACCAAGGGAAGTTTAGGAGTCAGGCCTGTCTGATTCCAAAACTCCCAATTCTGATGCTGTACCTAATCTCTACAAATGCTTGAGAAATGGACATGTGAGCCGAGTGGAGTGATGTGGGGTGAAGCATTGGTCCCACCAAGAAGTCGGGGGTGCCTTTCTTACCTTCATCTAACCTTGAGCCTCTGGATTTTGTGTCTCGCCCCGCACCCCTCCTCAGACACCATCCAGCACTTAAGGGACAGCAAGCACATCGTCGTGTTCCACAAAGGGCGCTACTTCAAGGTCTGGCTGTACCACGACGGCAGGCTGTTGAAGCCCCGAGAAATCGAGCAGCAGATGCAGAGGATTTTGGATGACCCCTCGGAGCCTCAGGCTGGGGAGGCGAAGCTGGCGGCGCTCACTGCCGGAGAAAGGTGTGCGGCTCCTCTGTGACGCCGGTCCTGTCTGGAGGCTGCGGGGGCGCCTACGGTTCTCTTCTTTACCCAGGGGCCCGGCTGGAGGGGAGGCCTGTGTCCTCGACCTGCAGTGGCACTGGGCAGGGCTAGAGTCTTGTTGGCTCGGCTTTGTTCCAAGGGAGCAGTTTCCTCCCTGTCCCGTGGGTCACCCTGACCATCTCTGTGTGTGACAGGCAGGCGTGCCTGTGGACGGATACCAGGGCACTTCACAGAGAGAAGGAGTTAGGCTTTTTCATGGGGCTGTGGGCATATTTAATTTAGGAAACAGAACAAGTGTAAACCAAGGCCTCTGTGTCAGGGATAAATTTCCTGCCTCATCTAAAGACCACTCAGAGGATCATTTTGTTATTCCAGGAATTAGCTTGTACAAATAGAACAGAGTTTCTCAGCCTTGGCTCTGTACACATTGGGGCTGGATAATTCTTTGTTCCAGTGGAGGACACTGTCCTGTGCTTTGTAGGATGTTGAGCAGCATCCCTGGGCTCTATCCACTGGCTGCCAGTAGCAACCACCCCGTTGTGACAAGCAAAACTGTCTTCAGATTTTGCCCCGTGTTACTGGGGGGCAGTATCATCCCCAGTTGACAACCACCGAGTTACAGCTGTTAGGGCAGCGTGGGGAGCAAGGTGGTGAGTGACCCCCCTAGAGAAGAGGAGAATGCGCTGGGCGAGGGCACGCAGAGGGTGGCAGTGAGCCGGGAGGGCCAACAGGCGGCAGAGGTCTGCTCCCTGGACAGCACAGCATGCTGGGACCTGCGGAGTGGGTCAGGGATGCTGGAACGCAAGGCAAGGAGGGTCCGTGTGCCCGAATACATTTGGGCTTGGTTCTGCGACCGGGTGCCGTTAAGGGACCACTTTAGGCTGGGGCGATCCGAGCAGATTTATGAGATTGTTCTGGTCCAGAGGATCCTCAAGCACTGAGCACCAAAAACAGGCAGTGTGTGCGGGAGGAGAAGCTCGGTCTGAGAAGCCCAGGAGTATTCACCATCACTGGGGCGTTGACTCAGCTGGAAGGAGCAGTGCTGGGGAGTGTCCTGGGGAATGAGCTCCCTTCCCAAGAGCTGCTAGAGCATCAGCGGGGCTGCCAATTTGGTGGAGGCTGGGTGGGCACAGGTGCCGCTGAGGGACCCACTCACCCCAGGGGCTCAGTGAACCCCCAGCCCTGATGCAAGCCCCCATGGGGCATTGCCCCATCTCACCCACGTGAGTCCTTCACACAGAGCGCCAAGTGTATGTCCCATCACATCACCTTCCTGAGCCTTCACACAGAGCACTGAGTACGTAGCAGCCATCCTTGTTGTCACCATTGTCCCCTGGCACCAAGGAGAGCAGTTGGGGCTGCACGTGTGTTGGGACCCGTTGTGTTTATGGGCTTGTTGGCACCACGGGCTGCCTCGGCCGAGCACTTGGGGAGAGAAGGGGGAGACAGAGGCCAGATGGCCCTGATCTGGAAGGGTAGGTAGGGGCAAAGGACCTGGGGAGGGCCCGAGTGAGGGGGGCCCAGGAGTGATTGGCTGGGGTGACTCTCAAGAAGTGGGCATCGCGTTAGCTCCTCACATGCCACTTAAGGTGGGGTGAAGAGAATCCTTTGAATTCAGCTCCAAGGGGCATCCATTATCATGGGGATATTCTGTGGTCATTAGTAGCGTGGACTCGGGGCAGGCTGGCCTGGGTTTAATTCCTCCCTGCCACAAAATAGCTGTGACCTCATCTCTGTGCCTCAGTTTCCACATCTGAAAGATGGGAATGGTGGTGTTGAGCAGTGAGCTAGTCCATGAAAAGGCTTGGAGCAAAGCCTGGCAGGAGGGAAGGACTTACACACACTTGCTGTGACTTCTGCTGCCAGAACTCACTTAGGATGGGTCCCCTGGAGGGGGTGCGACGGGAGTGGGGCTAGATGAGTGTGTAGGGGAGCTCTTTCTCTGGGTCTGCTGCCCCCAGGCAGCTGAGCTCACAGCGCCAGTCTGCATTCTCGTCGTTCATTCAGCTTTTATTGCAGAAGGTTATGTGCCAGGCCTTGTGCTCTGCACAAGATGCAGGGAGATGAGGCCCCTGCCCACAAACAGTGCGGTCCAGCTGCAGGCAGTCGGATAACGGCAGATAGAGAACATCATAAATGTGTAATTTCCTTACATGCCTAAAAAACTGTGAAAAACGTTGTCCTTTCAAACACATGTGCACGGAGATGTCACGAATTGTTTTTAATCCTTCCGTCAGAGTCCCCTGGGCCAAGTGTCGCCAAGCCTATTTTGGGCGTGGGAAAAATAAGCAGTCTCTTGATGCCGTGGAGAAAGCAGCATTCTTCGTGACGCTGGACGAAACGGAACAAGGATACAGAAGGGAGGACCCAGACACGTCACTGGACAGCTACGCCAAGTCCCTCCTCCACGGCGGGTGCACTGACAGGTACCGCACTCGCCGTCTGAAAGACGGTCGTTTGCCTGTGAACTTGGAGCAAGTGTTACACGTGGCTGACACACAGCCTCAGCTGTCTCTACTCTTAAGGAATAAGGCGAGCATAAAAATATAACTTTCAGTTTTCTTCTTCCTCACCAAACCTTGCACGCACGCACACACACAGACCATAAGCAGCAAAGTTGGGATTCTTTCCCTCCCTGTGCATGTCCACCTCCCTTTGGAGATGCTGGTCTGAGGAGTGGCTGCTGGGTACCCGGACCCAGGCGAGAGAAAGTGGTGGGTGGGGCCTGACCAGGATGTCAGCTCTGGCCCTGCCCGCTGGTCACGTGACTGTTATGAGGTTGTTCCACTTTCTGGAGGCTCCTTTTCCTTATCTGTAAAGTGAGGTCCTGCCTCCCCGTCAGGTTGGGGGCGAGGATCGCTGAGATGGGGGCTGTGCTCGGGCACATATAGCCTCCCGTCTCTCCTTGGTTGCCGTATGCATCCTTTTATTCTATAATAGTGTGTCCTGTTCTCCTTCTAGTCTCTGGTATAAAAGTGCTTCTCTTTGTCTGGAACAAGGAAGAAATGAATGACTTAGAGATCTGTATGTGCCTTTATCCTCACTCTACAGAGATTTATTAACAGCTGCTAGCTGTTTGCGGGGTGGGTGCCAAGTCAAGGAGCCCATCCAGAATAAAACAAATACATAGCTTTTATTTATTTGCCTCTTTTTAAACATTTAAATTCCATAAACATTTTTGTTTCACGTAGGTGGTTTGACAAGTCATTCACATTTATTGTTTTCAAAAACGGCAAGATGGGCATGAACGCAGAACACTCCTGGGCTGACGCACCGATTGTCGGCCACCTTTGGGAGGTGAGTTTTTGCAGCTTTAACTTGAATGTGGAAATTGCTGTTGCAAATCCAAACCCCAGACCAAATTTAATTTTTTAGTACAGTCAAGCGCCGCGTAATGACATTCTGGTCACTGATGGACCGTGTATGTGACAGGGGTCTAGTAAGATTAGTACCACGTAGCCTAGGTGCGTGGTGGGCTCTACCATCTAGGTGTGTGTAAGTACACTCTAGGATGTTCGCTCAATGACGAAATCGCCTAATGACGCATGTCTCAGAACATATCCCCATCATCAAGCAACGCGTGATTGTGTTTGTCTGATTGTGTAATAAGAATTTTTACACATGTTGGTACTGCATATAAAGTTAAATGACCAAATGAAAGACATTCTTGTCTTCATTTCCTACAACTTAGGTTTCTTAAATAGAAACGCATTTAATGCCATCTTCCGATGGAACTGAAGTAACAAAATAGCACGGGCTGGCCTGCTGGTAGTGGTTAAGTGCTCGCACTCCGCTGCGGCAGGCCAAGGCTTCGCAGGTTCTGATCCCAGGGATGTACCGACGCACCGCTTGTCAAGCCATGCTGTGGCGGCGTCCCGTGTAAAGTAGAGGAAGATGGGCACGGGTGTTAGCCCAGGGCCAGTCTTCTTCAGCAAAGAGAGGAGGATCTTGGCAAAACCTAACCTGCTGTTCCTTTGGCCAGCAGAGGTTTTCTATGTGGGAAAAAGGATAAAAAGGGACATACAAAGTACTCCAGTCTTCAAGACAGCAGTGTGGTCCTCAGACATTAGTATACAATAAGAGCAGCCAGTAGCTAAAGGCTCTTCACCGTCCTTAAGTCTCTGCTGATGCCAACAAAGGCTTAGAGATCCTTTCAGCTGAAAAGCCAGCAGAGATCAAACCACCTTCGGCACCTCTGGACACAGCAGCAAGACACACTTAGATCTTTTTGCAGAGCATAATCATCCAGGCCTGTTACACCCTATCCCAAGGGCTTTCTGAGTGATAGAGCTGTTCTTTGCTAAAGGAGAAAGAATCTGAGCCACGGGCAGTCTAGACTACACAGGGTGAATTGACCAAGTAGAGAAATCTATTGGATATTGACAAGGTCAGGCTTATATTTTTAAGTATCTGGATAAGGTCAGGATAAAGGGATTTAGCCTTAGCCTAGGGTGACCAGCTAGAAGTGGTAATGTTTGTTACTGCCCAGCTGACAGAATGGCCTGTGACTCGAGGGACCGGATGGGAGCCCAGATGCTCCCCATCTGGACGGGAGCTGACCCACTCTCTAGTCGTGGAGGCCCAGGCCAAATGAAAACAGGCTAGTGCAGTGATACCGTCATACCAGTTAAAAAGAAATCTGAATTTGAATCCGAGTCAAAGTTGAATCCTGTTTGTTCTCGATGTATTTCTGATATTTAAATGTGTTGGGTTCTTGGAGGCTCTGACGCAGAGCAGCTCAGACACAAATAGGCTGACTCCTTCACTCGCTCAGATCAGCACAGACGCCGAGCACACATGTATGCGGCCCCCTCCACGCTCCCCACCCTGGAGCCCCCATCCTCCTTGGCATCTGACAGTGTCGCCATCTGACTTGGAGTTGTTTCTGCCTCTCCCACTGGAATGCGAGCACCCTGAGCACAAGGATTTGTTTTTCAAAAAATGTTTTCAGTATTGAGATATAATTCACATACCATAAAATTTACCTTCTTAAAGTATACAATTCAATGGGTTTTGTATATTCACAAGGTGGTTGTGCGACCATCAGCACTATCAAATTCCAGGACATTGTCATCACCCCTAAAAGAAACTCCCCACTTCTCCTTTCCCCTCTTGCCCCAGCCCCTGACAGCCATTAATCTACTTCCTGTCTCTATTGATTTGCCTACTCTGGCCATTTCATAGAAGTGGAATCATACAATATTTGGTCTTTTGTGTCTGGCTTCTTTCATGTAGCATAATGTTTTCAAGGTCCAGCCATGTTGTAGCATTATCGATGCTTCATTCCTTTTTTTGGCTGACTAATATTCCTTGTATGATTATACTGCATTTTGTTTATCTCTTCATCACTTGATGGACATTTGGGCTGTTTCCACTTTTTGACGACTATAAATAATACTTCTGTGGACATGTGTGTACAAGTTTTACGTGAACATGTATTTTCATTTCTCTTGAGTATATACTCAGGAGTGGAATTGCTAGGTCATATGGCCATCTTCAACTTTTAGAGGAAAAGCAGAAATTCTTGTCTGTTTTGTTCACCATTCTCACCCTGGTGCTCAGAAGATCTGCTGGACCCACAGTCAGTGCTCAGTCAATACTGGTGAATAAGTTGGCTTAGGTTTCCCACCAGTGAAAAGAGCATCCACACCTGCGCTCGGGTCCCAGCTCACCGAGGAGTGGAGCTTGGACAGCCTGCCTCACCTCTCTGAGGCGCAGTTTTCTCGTTTATACACATGGGAATGGTAGTTATCATCTTACAGGCTAGATGTAAATATTCAACCGGATAGCAGCCAGAGAGCACTAGCACGCAGCTGGGACCTGGAAGTAGGCTCCAAGCAGCTTCTTGGCGTCAGAGTCCTGGCTTTGCTCCTTGCCAGTCTGCGAGCTGTTGAACCTCTCCAGGTCCATTTTTCTCACCTCTAAAATGGAGATGAGAACTGTCTCATTAGGTGGCTGTGCAGAGGATGTGCATACGGTAAGCACATACCGTAGTGAGTAGCTATTGTTAGGTCTTGATGGTGTCTCTATAAAGAATATAAGGATCTGTCTACTTTTGGAGGTCAAATATGTTTCATGTAACACTATTACTATAATAATCTTCTCTGACTTTACACACGTATCTTTTTATTTTCGACAGTATGTCATGTCCACTGACTGCTTTCAACTGGGTTATGCGGAGGATGGACACTGTAAAGGCGACACCAACCCGAACATTCCGTACCCCACCAGGCTACAGTGGGACATCCCGGAGGAAGTAAGTGCGAATTATCAGACAATGGGTAATGACCTTGGGTGGGAAACGAATTCAGACTGTCAGAGCCGAATTTTCCGGCTGTACTTCCTGAGCGTTCGTGAGCTCTGTTGAAGACCACGGAGACCGAAATTTGTCCACGTCGGGAATTTTCGCTGGGGCCGTGGAGGTGCTGCAGCTCCTGTTCCCTTGGAAGCCGCGGTAAATGTTTCTTCTTCCATTTAAAGCTCTTGGCTGAGATTGTCAGTGAGACCGGCAGCTGAAATTAGCTGGACATCACAATGTAAAAGTAAAAAACAAAATCACTTTGTTTAGAGTTGAAATAGTCTCCATCACTCATTTATAATTCTTAAACGTAAAATAATTTTTGTTCCTTTTAAAGATTCTCAGATGCAGTCTCCACTCAGTAGAAGCCCTTTGGGGAAGGAATTTGAGGATTGGAAATACCAAATCCGAGCTCATCTAATCCAAGCAGGAATATTCCTGGGGCCCAAGAACTGATTTTCAATGTAGAAGATCCTGTATCTCGTGCTGCAGTCTTATGCAGTTGCTTATGTAGCGTGTGGGGCTGGTGTGTTGTTCCTCAGAGAGATGTACCCTCTGCCAGAGTGCGTGGGCTTGGGGTCCTCTGGCTAACCAAGTCACTCACCATTTATTTTAAAAAATTTTTAATAAGATTTAATTTTTTTAGAGCAGTTTTAGTTTCACAGCAAAATTGAGCAGAAGGTTCAGCGATTTCCCATATTCCCCTTGCCGCCATAGATGCACAGCCTCTCTCACTGTCAACATCCCCCAGCAGAGGGGTACATTTGTTATAATCCATGAACCCACTGTTGACACGTCATCATCACCAAAGTCCGCAGTTCACATTAGGGTTCACTCTTTGTGTTGTACATTTTGTGGGTTTGGACAGATGTATAATGTCATGTACCCATCATTATGGTATCATACAGAGTAGTTTCGCTGCCCTAAAAATCTTCTGTGCTCTGCCTGTTCATCCCTCCCCACCCCCCAACCCCTGGCAACTTCTGATGTTTTTACTGTCTCCATAGTTTTGCCTTTTCCAGATTGTCATACACTTGGAATCAGACAGTACGTGGCCTTTTCAGGTTGGCTTCTTTCACTGAGTAACATGCATTTAATCTTCCTCTGTGTCTTTTCATGGCTTGAGAGCTCATTTCCATTGGATGGTTGTACTACAGTCCATTTATTTTTTAAGATTTGTTCCTCGATCACCACCACATAACAACGGTGGATTTCACAAAACAAAACCCATGACTGTTCGGCATGCCCTTCGGGGTCCCAGGGGGAAGCAGGAAGCCCCAGTCTCCTTCCTGTATTCTTCCTGCTCGGGCCACCCCACCACCCTTCGAGGAAGCGGGGAGTGCCACATTGCTAACACGCCGTGCCTCCTGGATAACCTTTCTGGAAAAAAACAAGAGGAAAACATGATACGTGTATTTCCCAGCAACGATTCTGTTAGCTGCACTGCAGACTAGCTCGCGGTTTTCTTCAGGGTACGTGTCAGTACCTCCCCCAATAAGTAAAACCTGGTTCTCCTTTTTCTCAAGTGTCAGGAGGTGATAGAGACGTCCCTGAACACCGCGAACATTCTGGCCAGTGATGTGGATTTCCATTCTTTCCCATTCCACACTTTTGGGAAAGGACTGATCAAGAAATGCAGAACGAGTCCGGACGCCTTTGTGCAGCTCGCCCTGCAGCTGGCTCATTACAAGGTAAGAGCCACGAGCCGGGGCTGTCATCCTGAGTGCTTTTGGGGTTCCTCAACACAGGCCCAAGGCCTTTGCCCAGTGGGTAGGGAAGGCTGGAGACCTGTCATGGAGAGGGCGGCCGCTGGTGCGGAAGTACAGCCATGCTGGGTCTTGTGTGTCACAGTGTGGAGTGCTTCTGCCACATACAGGACAGGACACGTGTTTAGCAGAACCACTCTTGGGTAGCAGTAGTTTCCTGTATTACCCAGGAGACGGAGGATCTGGGGGATGGAAGCGAAGTGGGATCTCATTGCTCTACAACGAGGAGAATTAGACTTTAAAATAAGCCACAAATCCTAGAGTTTGGTAAAGTAGAAATACTTAGGGCAAATGACTTGTGGTCTCTGAACTTTGACATCCTCTTCCAGAAATGGGGACACGACCAGCCCCTGGGGGTCTCTGGGATGGAGGGGTCCCTGTGTACACAGAAGCACGCAGTGTTTCCATCCCCTTTCTCTGGGCACCTGGTCACATTTCGGCTTGCATGTGGTGGCCCCATCGGAGGAAGCAGCGCAGGCCCCTAGGAGGACCTAAGTGGGACTTCGTGCCTCTTTGAGGGAGCATTCCACCCCAGGGAGGGCACCCTCGCTTTCCTGGGGCAGCGGAAGTCGTTGTGGCATTGGCTCAAGATATGCCCTGTCTTTAATTGAAAACTCCTGTTTTATTTATCTTTTTTTTTTTTTGTGAGGCCCATCAGCCCTGAGCTAACATCCGTGCCAATCCTCCTCTTTTTGCTGAGGAAGACCGGCCCTGGGCTAACATCCGTGCCCATCTTCCTCCACTTTATGTGGGACGCCACCACAGCATGGCCTGACAAGCCATGCGTCGGTGCGCACCAGGGATCTGAACCCAGGCCGCCAGCAGCGGAGCACGAGTACTTTACTGCTATGCCACGGGGCCAGCCCCAAAACTCCTGTTTTAAAACTTGAGTGTGGCACATATGTGCCGAGTATAGTGTCCTTGAGAGAACAGCTGCTACCATTTTTGGGTTTTGCTTGGTACCAGGCACTGGCCCAAGAGCTTTACGCATGTCACTCTCACAGTCCCCTCACCAGGGAGGGGTACTGTTAGCCCATTTTACAGCGAGGAAACAGGTACAGAGAGGTGAGGAGACCTGCCGAGGTGACACTGGAGTATGTGGCAGGGAGGGATCCACGTGGCGGCTTGAGTCCACGCCTGTAGGTTGGACTGCTCTGTCACTCAAGAAACAGACGCAGAACAGCGCAAGAGGCAACGTGGAGACCCGATAAACTAGAACTGATGGGCCAAAATTGTAACTAAAATTGACGCCAATACAGTTCTTAGCAAAGATGATCGCAACGTGAAGCTTTCTTTTCCTAAAGAACGTACCCACTGAAGTGTAAGGACCAAAAGCCACTGGGGAGAGCACAGTCCTTGTAGGAGATTTTAACTCAGCCCTTTGTCTGACGGATCCAGTGACTAAAAGATACGACGGGATTGAGGAGTTGGATCTTAGACTTAATAAGCTTGATTTTTAAAGTTGATAAGCGGACTTTGCACCTAAACATGCAGTTTGGGACTATAAAAGGAGCTGACACCTCTGATACAGGGAAGATTTTGTCTCTACCGAGACAAGGTAGAAAGCCTGAGAAGGTCCGTCCCCACAGATGAAAGAGAGGCTGTCGGAGAACCACTCGTAAGGTGAACCTGCTCGAGGCAGCTTCCTCCGTGGCTTTGAAGAGCGTACGGCTCCAGAGCCTTCGGACAGGCAGGAAGCTGGCCGATGGATTCCCGGAATTAGCCTCCCTCTGATCAGGATAATGAGCTGCATGGAGCCGGCCCCGGGTACCATGCTGAGTGCTTTGCAGGAGCCGAGTAACCCTCACGGCAACCCAAGGAGAGTAGATTCATCTCCGCTTCACACAAGAGGAGGTGAGGTGTCCCGCCTGGATCTACAGCTTGTCATGGCAAGGCGAGGCTTGGGTCCAGGCGGGCTATCAGGCGGGCTAGTTCTAGAACTCATGTCTTCAACCGCTATGATACAGCTTAATTTGATGGATACACAAAAAAAGAAAGCCAGTTTTGCTTGTGAATATAAATGCAAAGAATCTAAATAAAATATTAGCAAATAGAATCTGCAAGTATAGGAAAAGTATAGTCACCAGCAACAGCTTATACCAGCGGCCAGAAGATGGTTTCGTATTAGTAAAAGCAATAATAGATTAAATCATATTACTATATCAGAGAACAAACCAGGCAGTCACTTTGACAGATACTAAAAAGGCATTCAAAATTTAACATCCATTCCCGATAACAGCTCTTGGTAATAGGGGCTGTTTCCTTAACGTGATAAATACCATCGTGTATCAGTAGCCAGCGTATGGCTTTAAAGGTGAAAATGTGGAGGCAGCCCCATTAAAATAAGAAGGATGAGGCTGTCTCCAGCAGCTCCACTGTGCTCGAATGTCTTTCCGTAAGTGCTGAGAGCAGCTGACAAGATAATCGGGCAGGGGGAGCATCTGTCTGTCTACTTGGAAGATGGAGCAGGTGGAAAGCTGTTACAGTGAGGAAGTGTGCTCAGTAAGGGGGCCTGGTGCAGAACTATACACATACCAGTATCTTCCTCACGTAGCAGTGATAGTCAAGTAGAAAATATAATGGAAACGAAACACAAAAATCTAGGACCCCCAGGCGTCGTTTGTAAAGCAGACGGGACCTTTGGGAAGAAAGGCCAGATCCACGGAGAAGGGATGGACACTCTCAGAAAGGGAGGAAAGTCCATGATTTTGGATAGAAGACTTGACACCACAGAGATAACTGTTGTCAGGTCACACTGAACAGAGAGATCTGAAGATGATTTTAGGAAAGAGGCTTGACCGACTGATGCTCAGGTTCACCCGGAAGAGCTGACATTTGCGAATAACCAGTAACGTTCTGAAAAAGAAAGTCACAAGGTGGAGACACGGCCGGGTGAGGTGGAGACTTGCTCTTTCAAAGCCTAAAATAAAGATGTCAGAAGATTATAGTAATTAACATGGTGTAGTCCTGGTGCAAAAATACTTCCATGGAAAAGTCTTTGTTAAAGGATAGGAGACCTTTAACATCAAGGGAAAGGGATGAATCGATTAGTAAATGGAGTTGGCAAAATTGGCTAGGGGTTCCATTTGGAAAAAAAATAAAACAGTCCAGTAGAAAAATGGAGTTAGGGCAGAAATTGGTGGTTCACAGGAGAAGAAAAATACAAATGGTCAGTGGGTGTGCACAGAAAGTTGAATCTTACAGGAATCCTGTAAGTGCAGCTTAAATAAGACTGTTTTTGCCCCTGCAGTTGGCAAAGGTCTTTTTCCAATTCCGCGTTTGTAAGGGGGGGACTGAGAAAGGGACGTGCGTACGCAGCAGTGGGAACAGTAATCTGTGACACTCACACAGCCAGGAAGGTGTATCGGGAAAGCATAACCATTTACCCGGAAAATTCTCCTTTGAGAATTGTATCCTAACTTTAAGGACAGGTTCACAAAGATGTGTTTCAGCATGCCCATCTCTAAAAATTTGAAGCAATCGGAAAGGTTACCAATGTGAAACTTGTTAAATTATGGTATTTTTGTACAATGGAATATTACACAACTATTAAATGATGTCTGTGGCATATTCTGTGAAAAACTTAGTCATCAAACGGTACGTCATTATTTATTAGAATGATCTGCAAACTCTGGCCCATAGGCCACTTCCAGCCCTTCTCCAGTTTTTGCACGGCCCTCGAGCTAAGAATGGTTTTACATTTTTAATAGTTGAAAAAAGTCGAAAGAAGACTAGTATTTCATGATACGTGAAAAACAAATGAAATTCCAGTGTTCATAGAAAAGGGTTTTATTGGCACACAGCCACCCCCACTTTTTGACATATCCATTGCTGTTTCTGAGCTACGGTGGCACAGCTGAATAGCAGCGACAGAGACCATCTGGCCCACAAAGACTGTATTTACTACCTGCCTTTTACAGAAAATGATTCCCGACTCTTGCTTTATTATTATGCGCAAAGTCTAGAAAAGATAGATGGAAAATGTTAGCAGGTGGTGCTGTGAAGGTTGATCTTTATTGTCTTCAACTTTTCAATGTTTTAATTTTCTGCACAAGCATGTATTGCTCAAAGAAATCAAGCTACTTTTCTAAAGTTAAGGATTATTTGTTTTAATAACCCAAGCACTTATATCTCTTCTTCGCCCTCTGGCTAGAAACCATCAGGATTTCATTTTTCCCTCCCCATGTCAATTCTTCACATAGCACTCAATCTATTAAAAATGACCAATCTGTTGCAGTCATCTATTAGAAATTTAAGTCAGATCCATCCAGGCGGAGTTCTTTAATGCCTGCTATGTTAGGAATGGGACTCTTTGCAGAGCCAATATTCAGACCCCGCTCTGCGCACCTCGGAGCTGCAGGGCCTCCCTGAGGCTCTGCACAGATCCACGTGTCCCGCGTGGTCCTGGGGGTCTGCTCCAGGCTTCCGAACCTTCTTTGTGCCCTGGACCCCTTGGGCAGTTTGGGAAAGCTCTGGGGACCCCTTCTCAGAATAATATTTATAAAGCATAAAATGGAATACACAGGGTTACAAAGGTAGCCAGCTAATTAAAATGCAGGTGTCAAAATATTGAGCATAAATTTATGATACAGCAGATAATTTTTTATGCACTAAATTTTGAGTTGCAGGTCTAATTACTGCTGTAATTCTGAAATAGTGATAAGCGTAGATGATATTTTGGAATATCTGTAACAACCGTAATTTGATGTAAAAATAGCTATGATTTTTCTATTCATCATCACAGGCACTGCGTATAAATTACTGTGGTTTGTTGCCTGTGCTTCTAAACGCTGTATTTCAGTTTGCAGTTAGTGGAAATTGAAAAAAATATATTTCCCATCCAAGTTTACACATCCACAGGGTTAGTAACCATTTATCTGGTCCCTGTCTATCCTTCCAACCTTCTCAAATACCACTTTGGGCCTCATTTGCTCCATTTTCACCACACTGGCCTTTTCGTTGCTCCTGACTATGCCAGGCCCATTCCTACCTCAGGCCCTTTGCACTTGCTCTCCGCTCATAGTTGCTGTCTCCCAGATTGAGGTGTAGGTGCTTAGGTAGGTGGCTTAGGTGCCACCATCTCCTATTTAAAATAGCCCCACGCCATCGCTCTCTTCCCACACCCTGAGTTCTTTCTATTCAGCGCACACATATTTGTTCGTCCCCCGTCTCTCCCGCTAGAATGTTTGCTCCTTGAGGGGAAGGACGTGATCTGTCTTGTTTGTCACTGTATCCCCAGTGCCAGGAACGTGCCAGCCACAGAGGAAGAGGTGTCAGTAAATACAGACTGAATGATTTGATGAAGACACTGGGCAGTGGCCATAATTCTAGCCTATAGCTATCTGCTTCCTGGTTTGGGGCCAGATTTATTTTTCATTTGGAAATTAGAGGTGAACAGTCCACCGAGTGCCATCGACCCGAGCAGTTAGCCACAGGGCAGCAGTCCCTGTGTAAGGGGTCCGTGTTCTCACGCCTTGTGTGTTCATGTCTTTATAGACTTTGTCTTTTGATCCTGCTCCTTAGAAACTGGCGATGTTTTGGCAGAGGTGAGCGGCCGCTCTGGTCGTGGCAGGTTAAGTGGGGCTGCGGGTGTAACCCAGCTTGGCTCTCTGAGGGGTCTGAGCACACTAATACTCAGTGCATTTGCCAAGAGGTTTTTTTAGATGGTTATTTTAAAAATTGGGGTATAATGCATGGTTGTGCTGACTGCTCCTACAATTAAAGTGTGACGTTGGAAAGTTGACTTCAGACAAATCATGGCATCATATAGCCCAAGTTAACTTTTGTGAAATGACTAAAATGCCAAATTGATCCTTGTTCCTTGTCTCCTCCTTCCCTCGCCCTCCCCACTGCTTCATAATGAGCCCCTTTGAAACATCTGTCCTCCGGGAGCCTGTAGGGAGTTCTCTGAGAGGCACGTTTGGTAAATACCCTGGGCCCCCTGCTCTCCATGCAATCGAATGAGGAGGGAGAGCCCTCCTGGGCCCCATCCAAGGAAATGTAATGACTCACGTATCAAAGGACCAGTGTTGTGAGTTGTGGTTCTTTGTGTTGGGTGTTGGGGGCACTGTGGAAGCCTTCAGCGTGGAACAGCAGAGGCGGGGTGGCCGACATCGCGGTGTGCTCCCCTAGACCTCTGGGCCTGGCCCCCTCACCCCTGCCTGCTTGCTTCATCGCTGTACCTGCAGGACACGTGGGGATGGCGAATGTGACATCAGCCCCAGCCCGTGGGGAGGGAAAGAGCCCCTCGAGGCCATTCACAGGCCTGGACTGCACCCCAGGAAATTCAGCCTTGCTGTTGGTGCCCCCTCCTGGGTTTACTTAACAGTATCGGCCTGTTGCAGAGTGTCCTCTCTCAACCTGGGGTCACCAGGACCCTGATGACCAGTGGGATGTTGTCTGGTCAGGAGTAATTTGGGTCCGCAAACTGCCGCTTATCACTTTCCTGTCCATACTGGGAACCTGGTCGTCTCGGAGCTGGCCGGGTGGTCGTGGGCACCCGGTAGTTAGCAGATGAGTGCCCCCAACACACCCCCTCAGACGCTGTCTCTGTCCTGCGCCACCTGCAGCCTCCACCTGGAGCCCTTGCTGTGCTGTCACCACATCACCATGCTCCGGGGTCTCAGCTCTCCTGTCATTCCAGACCCCTTCTGGTCCCCGACGCCTGTGTCCCTGGGCCCGTTCAGAACCTCCCCCATTCTTTGCCCTCTGCCCATCTTGCCTCCCATTTCTCCTTCCTGGGCGTGGATTCCACGGCCTGTGGCCATCACCCCTGACGTGGGCCCCGTGGCCCCAGACGCAGCAGAACCACCCCCGGTTCAGTGCAGCTCTCCGCCTGCTTCGATCCTGTACCCGAGAGGTGGGCACGGCTGGAGAAAATCCCCAGACTGCTGGCTCGTCTCACTTCATTAACGAGCGCTGACTCCGGTGGGCCCCTAACTGCCCATTTCACACCCCCTGTCTCCCACGTCCAGCGCCTTCCGCCATCCTTACTCTCACAGGCCGCCTTTCTTCTGGTTTCACTGAGAAAATGAGAATCTTGTGAAGACACCTCCCGTCTGCTCCCCCGCAGCCTCCACCAGCCCCACAGCTGTTCCCTCCTGCTTTATCTTCCCTCCGTCCAGTGGGGGCTGTCTGTGCTTCATGCTTTGGCCACCCGCCCGGTGAAGGCCATGCCTCCTGACCCGTCCCCTCTCTTGAAGCACCAGTCTCGGTACTGGATCATTCCCATCATCATCCACATGTGACGGAGTATCTCCCGTTAACACCTTACGTCTTTGAATAATTTCAGGCTCTTGCATGCAGATCTCCTTGTCATGTACCATATTCCTTCCATAACCATGTTCGCGCTCGGGTAGGTGTGTGAAACTCAGGAAACTGTCATGGCATCAGTAGCATCTGAAAACAGAAACCTGGGTTACCCAGAAACTGACCCCCCAGCCCTTTCCAAAGCTAATGACGTCTCCATCTGCCTGCTGCATAACCCCGTGTAAAAACTGACGATGACTAAAAACTAAAGCTGACGATGAAGTCTGCTTTTCCTTGCTGACCTTTACTGATCCCTTCTTAGGCTTTAGAGGTCCTCCCCGTGCCCTGCTTTGTATTAATACTTTCCCTTTCCCAGGACATGGGCAAATTTTGCCTCACCTACGAGGCCTCCATGACCCGGCTCTTCCGAGAGGGGAGGACAGAGACGGTGCGTTCCTGTTCCATTGAGTCGTGCAACTTTGTGCTCGCCATGGTGGACCCCACGCAAACGGTAATGTGCCGCCAGGCTGGGAAAACAGTGCTTTACCTAAAACGGCTCTTGAGCTTGTGTGCAAGCTTCTCTGATTAAACCTTGGGCGTCCCCTCTTCTCCAGGGACTCCAGCTCCAGCTCCTCCTCTCCTCCACCCCTTTCGAGGGAATAGAACGTAGTGGAAGGTAACAGTTGGGACGTACACAAAGAGGTTCATGTTAGTGTCCATTCTGCATTATTCTGTAATGTCTACAAATCAGATTATACTTCCTAAGAGTCTTTAAAGTAGAATAGTACAGGACACAACCAGTGAAGAGAGGCCTTGGAGGTAGGTGCTGCAGAACAGTACAGGTAGTTGGTGGCTAGGTGACACACCGGTGACCATCACACAGGAGCCTTCTGCTTGGGTTACTGAAGCCCGCCGCCTGCACTGAAGGCCCCCCAGCAGACTCGGGGCTCCCGGTGTTCCATACGCTACCTTTGAAAATCCCAGCGGGAGCCCGTAAAGTATTATCAATTCGTTTTCGGAGGTAAAGAGACAGAGACTGAGATGGATTCAGCAAACTGCTGGGCTACACAGCTGGTGAGTGGCTGGGGCCAGACTGTGCCCAGGTCTGCCTGACCCAGAATGCAGATGCTCACTGCTGATGACCGAGGAGACACGGACCAGGACTCTCTGCTCTGCTCCGGGGAAAACTTTGTTCTGGAAGGGCTTTCAATTCTCTAGGAAGAAATCAGGAGGTATCATGACAGATTGCTCTGATTTATCATTAGCTGCCTTCAAAAACAGCCTTAAAGACCAGGTCTTGAATGGGGGTGTCAAAGCCTGGACGGGCCTCCATTTAAAGGGTGCTGTGCTGCCCTCATTCTGTGATGGACTCCACAGAGCCCAGGAGAACCTGAAGCAGCCTTTTCAGGTCAGGTTGAAAGGCCCAGAAGCGCTGTTTTAGTGGAGTTGCTGTTGCTAGCCAGACCACTTGAGAGGATTATTTACGATCCGCAGTAACAATGAGAGGGAGAGAACTTCATTTCCAGACTATGAGAATCAGAGGTTTGGGCTTCATTACCCGCTGAGTGATCTCATTTGTGTAAAAGGTGAGATGACACCAGCTGGGCTGCACACAGGACCCCAAAATTGCTTCTCCAACAACCAGTCCCCCCGCAGCTTCCAAGGAACCCCATTCGAAGCATGAATCTGGGGAAGGGGCAGTTGGTTCATGGGGCTTCTTGTCAGGTCACCTTGGCAACTGCCCAGCGCATCTCTCCCGGACGCCCCCAGTTCCCTGCTTTTTTAGTGCCCTGTGGGACCACTGGAGAGAAGGGCCCGTTACCCTCATCTTGGAGCTGAGATCCATACTACACAACTTGAAACTTCCATCCTTTGTTACTCAGGTTAAACAGAAGCTCAGATTATTCAAGCTCGCATCCGAGAAGCATCAGCATCTGTACCGCCTCGCGATGACCGGCTCTGGGATAGACCGCCATCTCTTCTGCCTTTATGTGGTATCCAAGTATCTCGCTGTCGACTCCCCTTTCCTTAAGGAAGTAAGTCCCGTCCTCCTATGGCAGCTCACCCAGTTTATTAGCTAAACCAAAACTTAATAAATCAGTACAGCCTTGCTGTACTGGTGTAACTGGTGTAACCAGTGGGTCTTTGGGCTCAGCTGTCATCACGATGGAAAATTTGAGCTGTGGTTCTTTATCCCCCTGGAATGCTTTGCTTCCAATTTACCCTCTTGACTTACTAGACGTAAATAACCTCCAGACCATAGATGATAGTAAAATGTACTAAGATAATTGGGAAGTGATGAGCTCTGAGTATTTATCACCTTCAATTTTAATTTTTTGTGTGTGTGTGTGAGGAAGATCATCCCTGAGCTAACATCCATGCCAATCCTCCTCTTGTTTTGCTGAGGAAGCCCGGCCCTGGGCTAACATCTATGCCCGTCTTCCTCCACTTTATATGGGACGCCACCACAGCATGGCTTGACAAGCGGTGCATCAGTGTGCGCCTGGGATCCGAACCCGGGCCGCCAGCAGCGGAGTACGTGCACTGAACCGCTACGCCAGGGGGCCGGGTCCTATCACCTTCATTTTTAATAGAGTTTGTTTAATTTTAATTTTATTGAAATTTAATTTTTAGTAACGGCTGTATTTAACAAGCAGCTTGAAAAACTCCCAAAAATTAGCAGTCGGTTCCCGGGAGCTGGCACCAGCCTGCTCCGGCACACCACGGCCCCCAGTCCGAATCTTACTTAATGTATCTGCCACCTGTTCTCCGGAGAAGCCGTCAGCTGGTGCTGGCCCCTCCAGTCCAGGCGCCCCCACCTGCTCCACCCCTCTCTGCAGACGTACTGCCCCGAGCCAGCGAGAGCTTGGGGGACACAGACCACTGGTGTCTGAAACAGTCCGAATTCCGAACAAGCCTTTTCTTGTCTCCCACCGGGGCTCCTCAGGGACAGAAGAGGGTGGGATTGGGAGAAGTGTCATTGGAACGTTTCCTTGTTTTACTCATCAGGTCTTATCTGAGCCTTGGAGATTGTCAACCAGCCAGACCCCTCAGCAGCAGGCAGAGCTGTTCGATTTGGAGAAGTATCCGGAGTGCGTGTCCAGCGGAGGGGGCTTTGGACCGGTAAGTGCCCGAGCGTCGGTGTGCACAGAGTTACAAGTCCTAGGGACAGGACTTGTCCATTCCCCTCCGCTTCAGGCCTGCCCCCATTCTGAGCGCCCCTCACTGCCATGGCGGCGCGCCACTGTGAAGGAATTCCTACAGACGTGAAGGGCAGTCTTGTATTTAAAATGTTAGAAGGCCCCCTTTTCACATCACCTCGTTCCCCAAGCTTAAATTTAAACCTGCTTTGCTCTGTAGGTTGCCGACGATGGTTACGGTGTGTCGTACATTCTCGTGGGCGAGAACCTCATCAATTTCCACATATCTTCCAAGTTCTCCAGCCCTGAGACAGTAAGTACCAAACAAAGTTCCTGTTTCTAAAGATGGAGTGTTTTTACTGTTTTCTTCTTAAGGGGAACACATCCTCAATCTGACAGAATATTTCCAAGCAATAATTTGCAGCAAGTACTTTTCCTTGGTTTCGACATTTTCAAATCAATGAGTTTTAACATTCTCTTAACCTAGTTTGAAAGAGATTATCTTACTTGGTTGAAAACGTTTATCTTTGCTCATAGCAGTGCTTTTAAAACAGTGTTGGAGTGCTTGTGTGATTTGCAGACTTTATAACGTTGGAGGGTGGACTAAGGTTGGTGTGCCCACACTAAGAAATACGCATACGTGACGCAGCAAGGGGACTGCAGTGTTCTCTGTGAATGGAACACCACGCGACATCCGTCCTAGCATGGCACACTTAATCCTTGTTTATATTCTCTCCTTTTCCCATTGTACATCGCCTGACAAGCAATACCAAGTTCACCATTAACAGAGAAGCTTGGAATTCATTTACTTATTGTGTTTCATGGAATGCATTGACACAGGGGAAGCCTTAGATCAAAAACACATACACTGTTATCTCTGTTAACTTTCAGCATTTCTCCAGAATGTCTAACTTAATGATCAGCCCATTAAGTCAAAGCTTAGAGAATTGGTAAAAAGGAATGTTAGTTCTTTGAGTGAGATTATAGGTGAAAACGCTTGAAATGTGGGAATTTCCATGTTGTGATGTGTTTTTTGTTCTTTTTTTTTTAATGGAAGGATTCTCATCGCTTCGGGAAGCACCTGAAACAAGCAATGAGTGACATCATGGCCCTGTTCGGGTTCAGCTCCAATTCCAGAAAGGAATTCCATTAGGGCTGCCGTGAAGGAAAATGAGCTCTTCTGATAAAAACCAAATGAAAAATAGCTCTTAATCCTGATTGTAGGTCAGGTTGAAAAATTGCTGTACAAAACTCGAAAGTTGTCCTTCCATCAAGGATTTGGTGTTTTTGTTTTTCTAGAATAGCTGGCTCCACCACGTGAAGTATAACCCTACTACTTCCAGGCAGGTCCTGACTCTGGGAACATGTGCTCAAGTCCCCAGAAAGTCTTTGCATCAACTTGTGTTTATAAAGGGATTAAAATATGGTTGAGCTAATTAAGGAATTAGTGGGGTTGTGACTTCACACACATTGGAGATGGAAATGGCGTGCCTCCTCGGTGGCCACCAAATAGCTGGTACTTATGGGCATTTAATTTAACCAGAGCAGCATAAACATTTGTTCAGAGAGAAGAGTGGTGTTCAAGTGGGAGATGTTAACAGTTATAGTGGATGCTCATGTAACGTACTCACGAAAACGCTGTGCTTTTGGAAACATTTTCGTCTCTGTGGGTAACTCTCTCATTGTGTAGTTTGCTAGTCTGTGTCTGTCTCTCCATGTTTAAAGCAAGTAGTGTGTCACGTCTTTAGTTTCACTGACTTTACAAGTCTTCAAAACCCAGTGCCTTAAAAACAGAAGGCCCTAAATGTAAGGGAGACCATATGAAAGATTTATTTTGTAAAGTCTTTAGGTGGAATTGTGGGTGTCTTACTCCCTTGTCATTGTACTGAGTGAATCATCCTAAAAAAGCATTTTCCTGTGGTTTCCCTACCCCTAGAAAGACCAGCTTCCTTAGAAAGGCAGCTATGCTGGATTCCGCCATCAGACTGCCTTCCTTTCTTTATTAAGCTACAAAGGAGAGAATGGGCATGTGTCAGAAATGGAGAACAAGGGATATGATGGTCAGATATTATGTGTCTGGAGCATTCACTGAAGAGTAAAATATAACGTGTGCCTCAGGATTACCGTTTACCCAAACTGACGGCCAAGAGAGCAGGATGTTGGCCACTGAGAGAGGAATAAAACTTGAGAGAAGAGTGACCTCAAAATGGTCAGGAGAGTGCAGCTCCAATACGCCAGTAGGAATGCTTTCTCATCCCACCCAGTGAGAGAGAAGACCCACTCTTGTTTCCAAAGGAGCTGGAGGTAGATGGAAACGATATGCTGGGCCGTCTCAGTGACTGACTGTGTCACAAACAATGGGTGCTAGGTTTCACACAGCCTACCCTTTAGATGGGAGTGCCTTTATGGAAAGAGTGTGGTTGACCAAAATGCAATTATGCACTGAATCATCTTCAGTATTTAATGTACAAATAAAGGATCATGGAATGAAATACCCATCGCCTCGGGGCTGTAATGACAAGCTTAGCTGTCTCCTTTTAAAAATTGTGTATTTATTTTTCTGACCACTTTGTTGGGCTTGCCTCTATAAGAGTTCTGCACTCCAATGATATTACAATGATGAGGCTGAATTATTGGAGCAGAAGACAGGTGTTTGCTGCAGAGCACATGCATATTTTATTTTTGTATATGTTGTAATGTAAAAATCCCACCTCAATGGGCCAAAGATTTTTTTTTCCTCTTAAAGCAAGAAGAAATGAAAACAGACAAAAAAGCAAAGAGGAAAACCAACAACCATGGTAACAAAACCCCCTGTTCATCTGTAGTAATATAGTCAAGGAGGTGTGGGAGGAATAGCCCGCTCTGCCTTGGCCAGGCGTTGCTTCCCTATCAACGCCAGCATCAATTACTGTCAGAGCCACCTAAATCATGCACTGTGGACTACTGACCAGTCTGTATTACCTAGCGTTCACATGTGAATTCGAGTGTAGACGTGTTGGCACTCAAACATATTTGGGCTTGTCTCTCAGGTTTTCAATGTTTTCAAATGTAATTGTTGCAAATCAGTGCAGTTGTCAATGCAATTTTATACTCCTTAAAAGAAGGAAGAGTGGGTTTTTATTGTACATGTCAAAAGGAGGAGGTAAGAGTATTATGTATTTAATTTAATTTGGAACAAGCCATAGTCTTAACGGAGCTGTGGTTTGAATTTGTTAGCTTGGACTGTCCATTGCATGTAAATACAATATGCTCTTTTTGATGTAAATCGTAGAAATGCAGTATGAATGTTATTATTAATAAAAACATTAATCCCTGTCTACCACAGTATTTGCTTCTGTCTCTTTTGTTATACTAATAAGGAGGTTATAAGTCAGGCTCAGGCACGTGAAGGGTGAGAACTTAAAAATAAATTTGCCTGTCATTTTATCTCAAAATGAGTTTATTTGGGAATAGCCAAAACAATTGCAATTCGGGACGTGCATGCTAAGGCAAACCATAGGCAAATCCAGCAAACAAAGGAGGGGAGCTGTTTTTACAGAGAAAGAGGGGAATAAGCAAGTTGTTGTTCTAAAGGCAAGTCCACTGGGGGAAAGTAACAGTCCAGGGCAGCAACAGCTTCTCACTGGCTGAGCTGCGGTGTTTCTCATTGGCTGAGCTGCGGCTTTCTCATTGGCTGGGCTGTTGCTGGGTGGGGAGAAATCTTCAGTAGTAAAGTAGTTTTATTTCCTGTCCATCTTTTCCTGGTTGGTGTAATTGACAATGTGCCATAGGGCATGAGAGCTCCTCCTACAGGCCTTCCTGACTCCAATTTAGTTAGGGTTTCTTCTATTAATTCCCACAGGACAGAGGTGAGACCAAGATGTGCAGAAATGGCCTGGGGTTGGGCAGAGTGGACATCACTAGATTCATTGACCTGACAGAGGGGAGGCTGCTAAGTAGGGCTGCAGATTTTCACACTACATTCATTTATTCATCCTCTCCCTTGTCCTGGTGCCCTAGAACAGAACATATTAGGTGCTCAAATATCTGTTAAATGAATGCATGAAGTCAGTTTTCTCAACAATTCTTAGTGCCTACTGTGCACCAAGCTGTCTAGGCACTGGGAATACAGCAGGGACTCCACCAGGTCCTGGCTATCATGGAGATCAGATTCCAGGGGAGGAGGTAGAGAACCAGTCGAAGGATCTTAAGTGTTCCAAGGTGGATAAGAAGATCATGCGTGCGTGTGTGTGGGTGTGTGTGTGTGGGTGTGTGTGTTGGGGGTGGTGGAGCAGGGGGAAGAGTAGTTGGCACAGGAAGAAGGCTGATTTAGAGACAGGTTTGAGGGTTTCAGCTGAGATCTGAATGACAAGACAGCCGGCTCTGGCTGATCGGGCAGGGTTGGAAGAGCGTTCAGGAGTAGCAAGTATTACAGAGGTTCCAGGCCTTTGATTCTGACCAGCTTGGTGACTCACACGGTGGCCAGGCAGGCAAGACACGATGGCTGACGCATGGGAGCTGCCTGGGAAAAATGTCTGATGTGAGAACAAGCGAGTCGTATGGCCTCGTGGGATAGGTGCTTGCTCAGGCTTTATTCAAGCTATTGACTATTTTTTTCTTGGGCTCTCTAATTTATATTAGCTGCCTTCTAGATCCCACAGTCTGGGGAGTCCAAGTTGCACTCTTATTCCTGCTCCTGAACTCAACTGAGTTTAACACGATGTGACTATTCCAGCCATAAAATTAGAGTAAAGCCATCTATACACACACACACACACACACACACACGCAGATCCCCTGGACTGGACAGTGCTCCCCTCTGATAGTGCTCCCTTCTGAAAGGCAGCGTGATTGGGGATGGCACAGTGCTAAAGTGTAGGAGGGTTTATGTATTACATAATTAAAGAAAAAAGCTATCCTAATTTTCATGTGAAGAAGACGCCAGAGCCTTCTATGGAGTCCTGCCCTATGGAGTCCTTCTATGGAGTCACAGGCCCACGGGAAGTGAATTCTCTAGTGGACTTCATTTCCAGCATGTTTGTAATGAAGTGGTTGCTGGGATTATATTTTAAGTTGTTCGCATGGCAGGAAAATCCCAACAGTGAGAACATGGTTACATTTTGTTCTTTTAAGGTCAACTTTTTAATGTCCCAGAATAAGTTTTTAGATAAGAAAGTCCTAGTACACTTAAGGCTGTGCCTTAAATTTAGGAATTCTCAACCGTGCACAATTTTCTTGGGATTTCTTGAATGCTCAAGTGTACAGCTAAATAGTAGTAGCACATAAGTGATGCTGTGTCTTGGTTACTACTGTTTGTTAGAAAAGTATTTAATTTTTAAAAAATGAGATGAGAAAGCTGATGTTTTACATTTTTATTTTATCAAAATAATACTTGCACATGGAAATCGTACCTGTGAGTCTGGGTACCCCAGAACCCCACCCCCATCCCCAGAATACCTTTCAGCTCTGCCTGGTTGGACTTGCGGGTCACAGCCATACGCTAAAGAAACTTTCACCTCTTTTCTTGATGAAGCAGGGTTGACTTCTGCTTCTATGAAAGGCGGATTTAGCTCACTCCCCACCAAAGTTTGTGTTACATTTGTGTTAGTTGTATCTGTTACTTCCAGGTCTTGACCAACTCCCCACCCCCAGACGTCAGTCGTCAGTGTTGGGTTGTTTATATTCGACTGCGGACGCCCCATTTTCGGTTAAGCATCCCCAGCTCCAGCACCAAGGATCTGAAGTGCATGCTAGGTTGGGAATTTGCATGCGCAAGCCCCTGACCCTCCAGCGGTGCTCCCTGGCCGGGCCCTCTCCCGAGGAGCTCGAGAGCAGAAAAAATGTAGTTTAAAGACTGAGGTCAGAAGTCAAGCTAGGGAATCCCACCTAGCGCGGCCTCAGACTAGCCTGGGGGCGTCAGTTTCCCAACTTGAGCCTGGAGCTGCTGATCCCAGGAGTGTCCTCCCCTGGCCGCCTCCCCGCAATGGCCGTCCCCTGGCCCCCGCCCCGACCCCTCCTGCTCCCTGAGCTCCCCCCGTCACCGGCACGGCCTCCTCTCAAACTTGCTCACCCCACTCCCTCGCCCCCGACCCATCCCACG